CATTTAGTTCTTAAATTATCTCAACTTAGTAGTAGTACGTGGTATATTGAATTAAATCAGCTGACATTGAATATTGATCCAGATACATCAGTGAGTGGGGCAAGGTTTGTGAAGTCTCATTTCCATACTTGCCCAATGTGGCGTTTCACACTCATCTTTTAACGTGTAAAGCAACTTATTTATGCAGAAAATGTTCATGCATCATCATCAAGTGCTCTGATCAGTACTGGTCCATAACAGAGAATCTCCAGCATTGACTCACCACAATAATTGTACTAGATCATTTCAATGTACCCTGGCAGCTTCAGTTGGCCATCTACATGGCAATGCCTCGTTTTGTTCAGTGATTTGTTTTGTTTAAATGGTATTAATCACCACTTAATTAGAAACTTTAGTAATTTCTCCAAGATCTAATCCGATAGGTCTCATGATGAGCTTGGCTCACTTTTAGTATGATCACTTTGCGAGTAACTGCACATTAGTATTATTATACCAGACATGCCCTGTTGCTATAGTTACATTTTTGCAGTATGGTGTTCCATGATTGGCTTACAAGTTGCATATCAATCTCTCCACCCACACCAACACAATATACACATCCAATCCAACATCCAATTTGCAAATACCGTATTTGCTCTATTAGTAGCGCATGCAATATCTTTCTCAGGTTTTTCAATTTTTTTTCTAAGTAACATTTCAATGATTCAGTATACAGCAAATGCGATGTTTGGTTTATATTTATAATAGAACAAATATGGTAGTAATACTGAATATTCGTAAATGTGTCACTGAAAAAGCAATTTACACTGCCATACCATGTACGATATCTGCAATACACACAGGGCAAGGAATACACAATAAACAGATAGACAGATTTCCAGGTTGTAATGTTTATGTCGAACATGGCAAACTATCTAAAAAATAACAGCATGACTTTCTATAGGCAATAGCAATGTCAATGTCAAGTGTCTGTATACTTATTTATTATGCTTGTTTCTGGTCTTTTTATAAATAGTGGTTTCACATACACAAGAGAAAAAAAAAATTATTGTATATGTGGAAAATACTACCGTGGCTTTATCGCGCAACTCTTGTATGAGAGAAATACGATTAAGTAACCAACGTGGTAGAAATAGTGTACCATGGTGAAAAGTACTACAAGATAAACATACATTGGATTCCTCTTTATATACACATCCAAAGAAAAGCGAGATTTTGTCCCTGACAATGATCGTTGCTATGGGCACCATGGTACAAAAAAGAATATTCTGGATGTATGCGTACAAAGATCATGTGTAACAACAAAGCTAGTTCAGTGATAAGAACATGAAAATAAAAAACTGGAACTAAATTTGCTCAATCTAAGTAATCTAGCTTCAAAGTAAACCACTCGAAATGAGTGATGGATCAAAAAGACAGGTTAGCTCATGCTGTTGCAATGTTCCTTTTTTTTAAAAAAAAAACTAAAATGATATTTTTCCTACTTGTTTACACATGACTTATTAGGATATATATAATTTTTTTTACAAAAGTTCCGTCAATCAGCAAATCCCGAATTCAATTCTAGCATTTCCTTTTGTCTTCACATTTACACAAACAAGCTCTGCACAGAAATAATCAAAACACAATTGAGGACACACAAGGACACGTTACTCCTTTACAGTTTTTTTAAAAAAAAAAAAAAGCTCCCAACAGTTTTTGTCCCCTTTCTCCCCTAAATTTAACTTTTTTTTCCAGTGGAGGCCATTTATGACAAAAATAGCGATGAGGTTCGATCATAAAATGTAAATTTTCTTTCAAAAAGTCATTTTACAGTGAAAAACAAATTGTTATACAGAAAGTGAGGTTTTAAAATGTGCATTGCATCATGGGAATAAAACATGAGATAAGCAGCAAGCCATGATCCAATCGGCGTATCATTGATACCAGCAGTCCATTCTGAATGTGCTGCATTTCACCAGTATAAAATGTTGTAAATTTCAAACCCACTATTTCCACTGTTTTGGTATAGTTTTCAATTTCATATGAAGACAAACACGGGATTGCAAATAGGCAAAAATAACAGGATTCTGCAAAAGCAAAATCAGTTGTAGATTCCAGTCATAACCCTACCTCTCGTCCCATATTTGAGATAAATGTAATAATCCAAACATTGGAAATATGATATAAATGACACCAAAATGGTGGTAAGACTGGGAGGGGAGGGGAGGGGTTGTTGGGAGGCAACATGTTACAAGTGACTTGGTGGCATCAGATCCACACAAGCCGTATAGCCATCAGTTACAGCTCTCTTCAAAACAACTGGCATGGCAAACTTTATTCGCTCGTGTTGTATCAGTACCGCAGAAAAAAGAAACGCATACTGACAACATTCAACATGTAGAAATAACTGGCTAATTTAGACAGTTTGGTGTGTTGCCATAGTGATCTGACACCATACATATTGTAGAATAATGTTAAGCGCGAACTATGCAGATGCACTGTGTTTTGGAAAGAGCGATACTTTACATGGGTGAAATTACAATTGCAAGATTCAACTATTGTCAAAAGTTTTTTGATTCATTTTGTGTGTTTTTTTCTTTTAGAAAGTTACAAATTCTCTCCCCCTAACTTGTCCTACACTTACTCGCATCCTGGCTTGGCCTCATAGCCATGGTCTGTATGTATTTCTAGTTTGCAACAGCATGAACATCTGGCAGACAAGCACCCACCTCCGACCGCTCTCACCCCCCTCCAAAACATTGTAAAATGGATGAACTCAGTGGTAATGGGGAATGTACCATTTGCTTGTAGGGGTGCAAAGAGTGGAGAAAAGTGAAATACTACCAATTTGATCAATTGTAAATAAGCATGACAAATAAAAGAGCCAAATTCAATCAAATAAAGCTACTTCAAGCACAAATTACTACTACAGGTTACAGTTGATTTAGTTTTCTTTCATATCACGTTATAGTAGTACTTTTAAAGTTTTTTTTCTGTTAATTTACTTTTTCCTATTTCGCCATAAAAAATGTCCTCTCCTGCAATTGCACAAATCAAAGTGGATAATAACGACAAGAAGGGCTCAAATTTGCAGGGAAATATATTAAAACTGAATATATTTTCTGAAAGCTAGCAAGTGATTGGCCCTTTAAGTTCCTCCATTAAATAATAATAATTGTTTAAAAAAAAATCTGATCTGTGAAATAATATATAGACTTCCACATTGACAGGGGAATTCTGAAGACCACAAAAAGAGCCAAGTAATTTAGAGGCCAATAAAATTAGCCAATTCTCTTTGAACACTGAAAGAACTTTGTGGCATTTTAATTTGACAGCATTGGTGCCTATCAAGTACAACAAAATACATAGATCAGTGTTAGGAAAGACCACCAATTTAAGAAAACAAACAAAAGCATATTAGATTAACATAAAACAAAATAACAGGAAATTGACTAGATTTATTTATTGTATGGTGTTGATTACTATTCAAGGAAACAATAGACAGGCTTATTGCTGTAACCAAAATACACATGGTCACAACAGCATAAACTTATCAAAGAGTTGGGTGGTCAATCTTTAAGTGAGAATTGATTAGAGGGCTTAGAGCCAGCACCTGACCCTTGACCTCATTTAGAGGGCTTAGAGCTGAACGCTTGACCTTGTTTGGAGGCTTTAAAGCCGAACGCTTGACCTTGATATGTGTTGATATTTATACATTGTTTCTGTTTTTCTATGAAGAAAACTTTCTAAGTACAGGTGACTGTTCAAACACTTTGTCAGAGCCCCAGGTTTGTAAGTTTGTTACTCAAAAATTTAAGCGAGAAGTAGAACGCTGACACGTAAAATATAGCCAACAAATACGGTAAATACTATGAAAAAAATGTTTGTTGGGGAGAGAGGGGATGAAGAGTCAAAAACTTGCAAAAAATCTACAAAAAAGGAAAGAACGTCTTGTTTAGAAAACAGAACGGGAATAAAAGTTTCCCATTTTCTGCCATGAGGTCCATCAAATAATGATGAGACAGCCATGTATAAACAATTTACAGCCAATATAGCATTGTGTGTTCAATGACAACAAATTTCAAACTCTTCTAAAATGTCTTGCCTGTAAAGAAAAATACTCAATAGATCTCTTTAGAGCATGGGAACCTTGGTAAAATAATTATCATTATTATTATTAAAATTAATATTAATTAATTTATTGTTAAACCAAATTTGTGGGACTCAATAAATTTATTTGTAAAAACCTATTCATTCTTCAATTACATCACTTAAGTAAATTTTACCTCAACATCCACCTAAATCACAATTTTCAATTGTAAAACACGCTATTCAGATAATGGGATCAAGAGTGACCCAAATAAAAAAAAAAGAGGGGGTCAGGGGACCTGCGAAAAAAAATACCTTACTACAGAAAACAAATTTGGATATCTCTAGGTATTGTTTTTCACTTCAATGTATTTTAAAAAAAAAAAAATCAATTTAATGTACTTTTCTGTAGCAATTTCACCCTTCCCCCCAAACACACAATCAAACTGACCTTGATGGACGAGAAGGAGAGAAAAATATCCCTGGCAATTTGCCAACAATATATACAATGACAGAAATCAAAGATATGAGTACCACTCTGGTTAAGCATACATCCATTCATTACAGAGCTCCTACATACAGCTGTGAAAGAAAAGGAAAAAAGAAACACGCCCTCCCTTCTCAAAGCAGCATGTTTCTCATCTACACGGATTTTGTTTTTCTTACAAGATTTTTTTTTGTAACCTTCGTCCTGATTGGTCAGTTTAAAACCAAACCAGGTGTGTGCATGTATAAGGTGTTGATTTAGCCACACTTATGGTAAAAGTGGGGAAATTGTGTGTTTTTTTCAAATAGAGGTTGTTATGTGAAATTCCCTGTGCAATTCCTTACTGCTGTTTTTTCCCTACATTATCAACTTTTTTTGAAAATTTTGTTCCCCTTTTTTGTTTTTATTTTTTTTATATATCACAAAGCTAGAACTTTGTACATAGTATGCTCTTTGGTTAGGTGGCCTCTTTTTTACAGTATTTTTTAATCTTTCAATCAGAGACTGAGTAAAGCCACAAATTAAGAGCTGCAACATTCAAAAAGATGAATGTGAGGTTAAGAATGTCCTCTTTACTTTTAAGTGGTGTGTTAATGGTTGGCCAATATCACAATAACTCGTATTGCCTGAGATGCATTCGTTGAATGATGTCACGGCAGTCGTTGAACACTCTTCGGATGTTTTCAGTATCCACAGCGCATGTAAAATGTGGATAACAATAATGCCTGCCATCACCACTGGCTGTACTTATCCGCTGAAAACAAAAACAGAAAAATTATGATGAACTTTCCCTTAAAAATATATCTAAGATTTGCAGCAAACTTCCAATTTCAAGAAATTAGCGAATTTCCATTAACTTGGGGAAAATCTCATGTTGTTCTGCTTGTACAAAGGTGTTCAAATAATATTAACAATAATTCAGTTTTACATCAATATTCACCAGCAAACCCTACATGTTAGATATACTAAAGTTTCACACAGTAATGAGATTATGGAGTTTATTGGTAATTTTGAACCATTACGTGACGTGGAGAGGAAGAGCTTTAAAGATTTGATTAGAAGGAATATCTGTGAAGCCATGCACACTGGAACCAGATTCCAATGATTAAAAATGGAACCAGAACAACAAATCAAAGAATGGTAAAAATCAATTTCCAATGGTTTTCCTACCACTTCCATCCTATGATGACGATGAATAAATTAGACTGGAAACTTACCAAGAACTCGTCTCTGATGAAATACTTCGCCCTGGTAACCTGATCGTCATCACCTGGTTCAGTTGTTGCTACAAGTTCACAAAACAAAAAGACAATGGAGTAAGAAATGAGCACAGTATGGTAAGAGTTGGATTGGAAATATCGTCACAAAATGACCAAAGTTGAAAGAAGTCCATCAAAGGAATACATAAAAGCAACCAGGTTTGTCATTTTCAAGAAGAAATATTTTAGCATTTTGCACCAAAAATATTCACTAAACTAAGACTTGATGTTATTGTCATGAAATCATTATAGTGTATATATTTTTTAAGAAATCAAAAATAAAAAGCTGACGCCAGTGATCCAAAAATTACAACAGACAATCAGTAATATGAATAGCTCCGCTTGGCCGTGAAACTGACAAATACCGATATCATCTATTCAGAATGTCTAACAAGTCACATCATGACAGTGTCTGTGAACAAAACTGAGATGAGTCGTGCATTTTGAATCAGAACTCGCGCCAAGGTACTAATATGAACGAAACATGTCCATGCAAAACAGAGATCCAGTTCTAGAATGACAGAAATGCTTGTTTTTGATGCATTTTTAACATTAAAATGGCCGTGATTTGGACATTTTGAAGTTGTTTGTGAAAAAAATAGTTCTGCACATGATGTATGTGTGAAGTTTGAATATAATCAGTCCAGGCATGTCTGAGATACAGGTACAAATAAACAGAAGAACCATACTTTATCTAAACAAATCTTTTTTTGTATAGTGTCCTTGATTTAAACAGGTCATTGTCAATGGCAAGTCCCTGTTCAGTTTTCAGTGACTGTCAATTAGTGCTGAATAATTATTTACACTCATGTTACACAGATGTGCATATGTGAAAATATGCAATCAAATTAGATATGCAAATCACTGGTCATGTGATCAGGTAAATTGTTTCTAAATGAATTTGTAGTGTATGATCAGTAATTGCGAGTGAATAATAGTCTAATTTAATATCATCAAAAATCAGATTTAATAAATGAATTCTAAATTTGCAATCTAATATATGGTCACAAACTTGTTATTTCCATTTTGCATAATTATGCAATTTTTGTATCCACATATGGTAAGCATGTGGCAGCCTATTTGTTACGACACTCTTTTTTACAATGTTTATGGTGGGAAAATTAAGACACACTTAAATAACTAGGCACATGCAAAGAATGAAGGATTCAGTCCAGAGGGCTCTGAAATATGATTCCGGCCTGTTTATTTAGTCCCTGTTTTTGAACTTCGAACTAAATCAGCCATTTTGAGTCAAATCTGGGGGGGGGGGGTGATAATAGACATGGCTTGATTTTGATGAATTTTTATCACAAAAATCTTGAATTTGATCTTGAAGCAAATGCATGTGCTTATGTATGATATGACGTGTGATATACATGATCGGTCAAAGCATGTCAGGGATATGACCATGGAAGTGAATTTGTTAAAACAAAATGGCCGCCAGTAACCGTTTTAGGTCAGCCTAACAATATGTCAACATCCTCATTCTAAGAAGATTTATTCACTGAATTTACTACGTAATGAATAAACAATCTCAAATTATGTACTATATAAAAAGGGCCAAGTGGGGGAGGGTAGTTACTGTTTGAAATGATAAAGGAGGGTTCAGTCAAAAATGAATACAACAAAATACAACTTTCACATACCGTCTGCCGGTACAGTATAATTTGCGTATTCTTGGAAATAGTCTTCAATTTTTGACTTCCCTGCCCTCACTTTCTCTGCTAGTAAATCTTGTTTGTTCAAAAAGAGAATAACTGAGATTGTTTTCAACCACCTATGGGAGACAAAAACAACATAGGAGTTATTATAAGTAATAATCCTTGTAAAGCTTACTGACCACATAAAAACGTTTCTGGTTTCAAAAATCTCAATGAAACTAGCTAATAGACAATTTAGTTTTGAATCTAAAATACAAAGCAGCATCTGCAACAATGGTCAATATTCATATATAATTCAATTACACTGTTCAACAACAAATGATGATTTGAGATACTTGCATAAAGATTCTACACTTTTAAAATTTAATGAATATTATTATATATAAAGTGTAGATAGAAATCACTAAAAATGACAACTTCTCCCATTACCTTTGTCTTGACATAATTATTTTCACTTACAATAACAAACTCTAAGTGAATACAAACTCAAAGTGAAACGAGAACATAATAATAAAAGTTTTTGAATGAGAAAATCATAAAAGTGTCCAAAACTTGCGAGTAGTTTTAACAAAATACAAGCTCAACAACCCTCCTCTGCAGTCAAAAAGCTTAGCAGTCACTGCAGACCGAGACCCTCTTCTGTCAAGAGGCAGTCACTAAGCTACTATTCAACCAATCATGCTTTAATAAGGCAATGCAGTAAAAGTATAATCATCAGTACTCGCCTGTTATTCCAGATACTTTTAAACAGTTCCAAAGATTCTCTAAGCCTATTTTGACTAGGATCTTCCCGCAGTACCAGATTGTAACCACTGCACGCTACCACAAAAATAATTGCTGTAACATCTGGAGCAAAAACAATTGACTTTAATAATAACACCGGACATATACACAGTTCACTTAGTACAGTTATGCTATAATTACAAGTCTTCATAAGAACATAATGGGAGTAAGCGTGGTGTATATAAACACTGTGTATTGCCAATTCTTAGAGTATAATCAGTTTGTGATCAACCACTATGATTGCTACATCGTAAGTAGTACATGTTCACTGACATACAATACCACTCTCCCTTGCAGAGTCTTCTTGACCTAAGGAGCCACAGAGAGCCTCAACAAGTGGGATGTTCCCTGGCGACTACCTAGCTTAGTGATAAAAAAACCCATAGTCTCTGCGACGGAGAATGATACAATACAGTACACTCCCCCCTCAAATACCATTTTTCTGATGTGAAATAACTTATTAGATTGCAGCTAATTTCCTCCTTTTCCCTCGATATGAACATAGAATGTTTTCATTAATTATTATTGCCACCAGCCTTTGGCGGAAGGTTCTGTGTTATCAAACTCTACTGTGATTAAAAATTGCATTTCCAGATTGACAGAAATAGAAAGCACATTATGCTTCAAACACGATACCACGTAATTAGAGCTTCAGTGTGGACGAAAATAGAACTATATCTACTTTTCGTAGACCAGTTGAGGTCAGAACAGGAATTATAGCAATAAGACTAACTTACCATTAAAACATTGAATCCATTTCCGCCTTTCATCCCTTTGGCCTCCTACATCGAACATGCTGGTAAAAAAAAAAAAAGAGAGAAAAAAAAAGATTAGAAAATATAAAGAAAGGGCATATCTTTATGCATCATTGCTGGAGTGTGTGTCATATGATACAGATATTGGATATTTCCATTGTAACAAAACAAATTGCATTTCCTAAAACCGGACATGGATAGTCTTAACTAAACAATTAGACCTTCCAATATAGCTTGTTTGTGGTAAAAACCAATTGATTTGGAACAGATTTGTTGTAAATTATAAAGTTAGAAGGATTTTACTCAATGATATACATGCACTTCATACAGACTGACAGGTATATTTTGCTAAATTCTAACATCTTCCGAGTACACAGCTACACTCCTTGGCGTATTTAGTTCACATGTTATCCAAACCATACAGGTACGATAAGATAAATTTTGGCATTTGTACATGAAGTATTACTTGACAAAATGATTTGATTTCAAGTGGAAAACTGGATTAAAGATGAAGTTATCTGTCAGTGTGAAGACTCAAAGGTAATCCTTGTGAGGCACTGGGAAGTGATAATTTTCAAATCTGGTAAATTATAAATAAAAGAGAAACTTACTGAAAGTTTACTTTATCGACTTGAAACCTTGTTTCAAATATACCTGATGTTAAGACTCGACACCGCAGTATATCCTGCAAAAAATCACAAATATATGGTTAATGAGAAGAAGAAAAATTCCGCATCAATCTTTTGACATCCACTGTCAAATTAAACGATCTCCCTTGGAGGACTTTGCTGGGAATGCAGCAAGAAATGTTATCACAAGGGGGCGGGGTATTGAAAAATTGCAAAGGGCACAACTTGAGTAGATCAAGAACCTTGGAAGAGTGATCCATCCAGGAATGGGAACCTCTAAAATCAAGGTTATGATTACATGTGGTGAAAAACAAATGCTAGCAGTTAACCTCAAAAAAGGAAGCCTGAAGCCATGAAAGAGACAGCTTAGACAGGTCAGACTTGCAATAAAGCATACTTTGAGATACTAATTCAACCACATGTAAAAGAAATACTTCATCTGAGAATGATTCTAAGTTCAGATGAAAGTTAGACAAGAGTCGAATTGCACAGTCCTAAAACAAAGCTTCAAAACGAAAAAAATGGCCGCCAAAATCTCATTGACAGAGCCATTAGACTTGTTCCTCAAATAGTGTTCCATTTCCTTGTCATTGTGTCCATCGTAACCATGGTAATTGGAACAGAGGACTTGCGACAATGGAAGAAAATGAAAGACTATTTGAGGGGTAAAAATAAGGCTTGTGTTCCACTCACTCTGAACGAGACATTGGTGGCCATTTGTTTCAAAGGTTTGTTGGAAATTGCTGCAATTTGCAAATATTACAGCACTATCTCCTTGTTGTTCCCTAAACATGAGACTGCCTGGTAGACCAAGGCCATACTGTTCAAGAGAAATTGAAACCAGGGTCTATGGGCATGCCAAGATAAGTGGGCTTGATAAAGTAAATGACCTATGGGAATAGATTGACCAGATTAGACAAGCTTTGGTGGAGGTGATCTGAAGTAAATTTTTTAGAATTTCATGATCACAGTCATCCTACACAATGGTGAAATCATGACAGCTATCTACATATTAGCACATATGCGTTAATTACCAAGAATAATTAATTATCATAATCAGCACCTCATTATACACCATTACCACATTCTTGTCATAGAGGGCAGTATTGTGATCTGTGACAGGTATCCCCTCCATCCGCACATTTAAAAAAGACTAACACAAGTTGCATTTACATCCAATAAAATAAGTGATGACAGTGCATAAAAGAAACAAAATGAAAACAGATAATTTGCGATCCGTGGAGGATTTTTAGTTTAATTTCTAGTGTTTTAACTGCCTGAATAATTGAAAACATAGCCCCTTGTCTTTAAGTTAATACATTCTAATAATAGAACAAGCCGATGACAGCACTCATGGTTACAAAACTATTCAGTGTTCAAGTGACCTACATTCTGCTCCTGACCTTTGACCTTGCCAAGGCGATGCTAAGCAATTGGCTTCATTAACATGCTGGCAATCAGGTCAGACATTCAGACTCCTTTTTCATTTTCATTTTTTTTTTTATATCATTTAATAGCAAGAACAAAAATATTTAGGCCAAATACTTCTATAGAATGGTTGTCTAGCAAACATTTATGTCTACTGGAAAATTGGTGATTCTAGTGTGCCACCCCGCGATAATTTCCCAAGCTACCCTGGGAGAACATATGCAGAGATGAAATATTGACTAAAATTTTAATTCTGAAAGACGAGATCAATATCCGGGGAGAAATATGCCGTCTTCAATAGCCCTCTGTCAATAATTGATTATTGGATTTTTGTCTGTTTTACTGACAGTTTTGTGAAGGTAATGGGATAGATAACTACCGTTCATTCCCCTTCTGAGTTTCGGTAAATGACAAGGACATTCTTTCTGACTGTTTCATCGAGTTGATTTTTTTGATTTTTTGTACAAGAACTAAATTGTTTCATTTCCTTATGCATTTGTAGATGCGAACAGCTGTGCATCTTGTCCACTAACGTCCAGAATGGTCACATTTGCAAAGACCACGGATAAATCAATTTTCAATAATGAGCCAACAAACAAATTAAAGTTGCTGAACACTTACCACTGATTATTGTGATAACCATAAAATAAGACGAAATCAGTTGGCATGGCAACAAATCTGCACTTGACAGAAACCAGGTTATGGTGTCTGATTTTCATTGTTGTATCATCACTCACAACAACTTTATTTTCAGGAGAATTTCTAAATTTAATTTCAAGATTCTGTTGGATAAGATCTCTCGTGATCGCGATCGGTACTGTAACCCTTACGATGCTTACAGGGATCAGTGAAAGTTTTTTTCGTACAAAGTGGGAATGAAACTTTCGGATGTGGTCATATGGTTCATTTAGTAATAAATCATAATCTTGCTAATGTTACTGACTTAGAAATTATCCATAAAATGTACTTAATACAAAACACAAACTACATGCATTTTAAGCAAGAAAGGTTTTTTTATGGGGAAACTTTCATACTTGGATCAGAGCACAGAAACCGAGAAAAAACACTCTTACAAAGCTAAACTATATACTAAATAGTGAATAGACTGAGCAAATTTAAAATATGACTGGTCATCTTGGATTTAAGCTAGATTTGCATATGGCACATTATCACTGCCTCAGAGTTGAATACGACTTGTGCATGAGAAACACACAGTTCACAGACGAATACAAAAACAGGAAAACACCGTCTTATCCTCAAGACCAAAAACTGACAAATTCCATTCCATCACAATAATTCCTATCAAAACTGTTGACACAGGAGAGGGAGAAGAGAGATTAAGTTTTATGACTGAGAATGTTAAGAATTATATGTAAAAGCAACCAGGTTTATTTCGCTGGAAGTGACAAAAGCGAGAATAGTTGTAAAAGTGTCAATACAGCACGAATACAGTCAAGGACTAACAACATTATTGTATCAACGCCCTCTTTTCTTTTGAATGCCTACAATGGCTCTGATCGTAGAATGTAGAAGCAAAATGGCCGCCAGTGTCAAGCAAATACACAACATACTGTGTAACAATGAAACTAAAGATGCCTACAAATGTTTTACAAGAAAAAACATACCAAATCAAAATACTAGTCTAAGAGAAGTAAAACGAACAAATATAGACAAATTTTGTCTCAATTTTCAGTAAGTAATAGCATTCAATACCTATGCCATACATTACTGTTGTATGATTTGGGAGAGGGGAGGGTGGGGGTGTAAAGGGCATTCAGTCACCTGACAAGAATGAAAAAAAAAATCCATTTCTCTTACCTGTTCCGTGGGACTGTAGTCTGGTTGCCTGACTACATTTACTTTATCCAAAAAACTAGAAAAGAAAGAAAGCACAAAAAACCTTAGATTACAAGAATAAGCAATGGTATTTATAAATCAACAAGCTCGTTTATTCATGCAATTAATAAGAATCCTCACACAACATTTATTTACAAAGAAAACACAGAATATCAATTTTCTACAGAACAACAAACTATATTCAGTGAAACTTGGGTAGAAAATATGATCATTATTTTTGTTTTATTTAGATCGGTTTATACATTTGTATGAACGTGGAAGCCTGCTATTAAAAAAAATGTGGGTAGTTACAAAAGAAGAAGACACCTAAAGGTAGTTGACATGGCATTTCAACATATAGATAGAAAGCACACCATACAGAGACGTGACATCATAGTTTATCATCTGATAATGTCAATTTTATGACGTTTTTCTGTTGTTGTTTTTTTTTTCAATTTTCTATTCAAGTCATTGTTAATAAAATTAACAAAATTTAGTGCTAATTCCTTTAAACTCCACAATTTTAATAATCGTATTTAGTATAACTCTTTGCATATTTTCAAATCTTTCTTGATTACCCATTTGGCTTGATAAAAGATTTTGAAAGTACGTGAAAAAAACACAGATTTCATTTGTGAGGATGACAAACGTTGAATTTGGTGATCAAAGTGTTCACCACGATGATAATTTAACCCGAAAAACTGCAGATACATCTAATTTTTTTTGACTAACCGCAAATATTGATTCGGTACATTTCATCTATTTATGGCAGTGTGACATGGGATAAAAAATCAATTTAATAGAAATGAGATAAAAACAGTAGAGTATGAATTAAAAACTTGAAAATCAATTACTGTAATGCACTCAAATTTTAAAATGCTCTAAATTTATACAGTGAAATAAATTCTTGTGAATTTAATATATGCAAGTTACTTGACAAGATTAGGTAACCAACAGACAGAAAGCAATCAAAGCAATCAATAAGCTACAAATAATGTATGGCTGTGTATCGCATCTACAAAACAAAAATTGAAAACCCATCGATGTTTAAAAAGAATTCATTTATTTATTGAAACTCAGATTTAGCAATAATGAAAATATTTATTTACTAATACCATATTTGCAGAATTATGTGTAGTATCGCATGCGCTTACGGAAATAACTGCAAAAGCAGTAATTTTTGAAAGATCAAGAATACAATTAATGTTATCTAAACAACAGCGAGATAAACATGGCTACAAAATTTGGGGATCACCGCTAGACTCAAGCAATTTGATCAAATTTGTCTTAATTAAAAGTAGTGCAGTTTATAGTGAATGCTTCTGTGCCAGTGGAAAAAGGGTAATACTTTCACAAAGCCAACAACGTTTCATCCAGACAAAAGAACCTTTAACTTGGTGGGCATCAATCGCCAGCATCATGACACAAATGAATAAAGAACCTTTAACTTGGTGGGCATCAATCACCAGCATCATGAACACAAATGAATAAAGAACCTT